ACGTTTCCATTAACAAACGAAATTTCTATCGGCTGGAACTTCGAATCAAAAATCTCACAGGAAGATGTGACCGGAACCTTCAACCCAAGCATTAAGACGCTATAGCGGGTTGCTGTTGGTCTGCTTAACAGGGAACGTCGCTCATTCACCACATAAAATTTCTCCACTAACACTGGCCTGTCTTCCGAGATGAACAGATTTGCTTCGAATGTAGCCATCACAAGAATTTCTCCCTTCGTGGCATAAGCTTTGAGGGATCTGTCCGCTCGTTCTTGCAAATTGTATACCGCCTCGGCGTAATTAGCATCACTCAACAGTAATCGAAATAGTGGTTCAGTGAAAGTGTTGACCTGAGCACCCGAGTCGATTAAAAACTCGCAGTCCATTCCTGCCACTTTCGCCGCAATAATTCCTTCGTCGTTGAGCGTATTCCTGGATGACACTACGTTGATATGCTGCCCGAGCTTGACCTGTGATAGTTTGATGTTTAATTATTAAACCAGTAAACTTATCTATTTTCAATACAAAATCGATAGTTGTCCATTTTTGCAATTGCACAAATATACCTTCTTTGCAAGTTACATCTAAACTATGTTCAAAGCTATTGGGTGGTTTCGTTAAACAAATCAAATAACTGCTTTTGATCCAAATTCATTTATTAAGTAAGTTAACAAACTGTTTCAAATTACATTCGAAATACATTTCAATAAAATCAACAAAAGCAATAGTTGGAACCATATCATGTCGTATTATCAAATAGATCCATGTATTAATTAATTTTCCGAATCATCACTTACGTTCTCCATAGCCTTGGAATCCGGTTCCTGCTTTTCGACCGCAGCAATCCTTTGAATTTCCGTTTCTGTTGGTTCCGACTTGCAACCGCTTGAAACCGCTGATTGAATTGGAACACGGCAAACTCTCTGAAAGTGGCCCATCTTGCCACAGTTTCTGCACACCTTATCAATGGCCGGGCAATCCGACGAATAATGGTATACGTTACCACATCTCCAGCATTTCTCTCCGTGCGATCGATTGAAGTTCATGCCACGACGTCCGTTCATATCTCGACGATTGTTACGCCATCCCGGCAATTCAGAGTGTCGTGTGTTGGTCGAAGACCGGGAGTGGGAACCAGAAGAATATGGACGTGTCCCTGTACTGTTCTGATACGGATGATATCGATTGTGAGGTGGCAGGCTCTTCGGAAAGTCTGCTCTGACGGGAGCGATAACAGCCGGTTCCGATTGAACGTGCTTCTGCCTGTAATATTCTTCATTCAAACGGATTGTTTCGATCTCGCGCACTTGATCAATCAGATCAGTAACCGAACCTCCTTTGTTGAGCATCTTCAATGCTGCTGTACGCACTTCCCGGCATCGTGCCTGGCTGGCGATTGTGCCGATGATTTCTTCAAACTCCTTGTCGTCCTTGAATTCGCACAGCCTAGCCGTTGCTGCTACTCTGTTGACAAATTTAAAATCAGATTCTTCTGATTTTTGGGTCATCAAAGCAAGTTTCCGTCGCTGTAGCATGATGTCGGATCCCGACCCAAAATACGTCTTCAAGCGGTGTAGTGCGTTAGCGAAGGGCCTGGTTTCTGCACTTGGTGCATCCTCGGTGGACTTCGTATTCTTAAATACTCCGAGCAGGCGTGGTCCAGCCTTGATTTTGAAGACGATGAACTGCGTGTGCTCATCTTCGATCCCTGCCAGCGTCATCGAATCAATCAATAGCTCTTTCCACATTTCGAACGAGTGTCGGTTGATATCATCGTCGTCCGCCAGGGGCACGCATTCCGGTACATTTAGTGAGGACACGGAGAGCTGGTTTACAGATGAAACGAATCGAGATTCTTGAAAATTATCCGCCGTTTCCACCCGTCGTGTACTAGAGGGCCTTGGTACTCCATCAAAATCGACGCTACCTTCGTCCACCGCGCTGCTGTGCATTCAGTGCCACCACGCTTCTTTTTCCGCACGTTCACGTTCTAGCGCTTCCTCTAAGGTAACCGAACGTGCCTTTGCATCCTCCAGTTCCTTCGTCAATAGTCTGATCTGATCCGCATTCTGTTCCTTCGCTAGTTTAGCCTTCTTCTTCTTTGGAGATTTGACACTGCAAACAGAAAAAAATGCCTTTTAATTATTTGGCATATTTCGACGTGGCCTCGTTATAACCTCGAAACACATGATTTGTTTCAACTAATAATTACTTGCTTTTCTGCCCTTCCGTCAGAAAGCACCAGAATCACAAAATTTTCCATTCCGCCCTTCCGTCGGAAGACACTAATTCATAATGTTTTAAGGTTACGCTTGTGAACTGAACTCCATCGCCCTTCCGTCGTGGAGTATTAATCCGTCCTTCCGTCGGTTTATACATGATTCCATCACTTTCATAAAATGGCCGCCATTTTATATTTTACGTTTGGTTCTCAATTAAGCTTGCTTGCTTTTAAATATGGCCGTCCTTTTCTTTTCCATCGATATTTTCTACCAATTTCTTTTGCCAAATCATCTCGTTATTAACACACAAAGTTGCCATTACAGCCTTTTTCACTTTCACTACACTTTTGTTTTCACCGATTGATATTAATTTTCAGTTTTCCTTATTTTCTTACCTCATGGGAGCGTTTGCTGTGCCATTGTGGTGACCTCCAATATCCTTCGTTCTGCCCATCTTAAAAACTTCACGTCTGCTCGTGGCAAGTGTCGTCGAGTGAATCCCGAATACCGTGAAGAACTTTTCCTGGCTGGTCCGAAATCTGCACGGCTCGTCGAAGGTCTCGCAAGAGAGAGAGAAAGAACTCTCACCGCTCGCATCGCACTGTAAGTGTAAGTGTAACTCGTGTCGTTTCATCCAAACCGCCTAAAGGTGTTGGTGATCGCTCGTATACCGTATGACGTGCAAAACGAGGACTGGTTGACTAGAGACTTTAAAGAGAGACAAACCGATACCAGAGTCTAGGATGAATGAGAGTCCGTGGAAAAGCATAATGGAAGTAAGAGAGCCAAAGTACTGGAATCAAGGCCGATATTCGCCTGGATTTATTTAGGCTGAAATGAAATAATCTAATGTTTATGTTTTGTTATATTTATTCAACTTTCAAGTGCCTCGCTTATCTCCCACATATATCGCTTATCTCCCACATGAGGTATACGAGCGTAAATTTTGACATAAATTTGAGTTATAACAGACGCGAAAGATAGCTTAATCAAACGTACTTTTCGTCGAAGAACGTACAGAGCACTTAATATTACATGACAGGTTTGTTTACATCTCATCTTTTATGTCAAAGATGGATTCCGTCCCGTGTAAAATAAGTTTTTTTTTTCTAAGTCAGCGGTTTGGAATCCTTTCTACCAAAATGGATCTGACAGTATGAAAAGCGTTCAACGCAGATTTTTTCGCTGGGCCCTGCGTTCCCTTCCATGGCACAATCACTTTGAGCTGCCACTTGCTTCCTTATGAAAATCGGTGCCAGCTGATACACACATAGAAAAAAATCATGTATAATTAAGGTGCTCTGCGACTGACATATACGAGCGCCAATTTGACACAAAATTGAGTCATAATAGAGTAATGAACTTTTCAGTCTCGAAGCACTTAATTTTACATTACATGTTTGTTTACGTCTCATCCGTTAAGATGGATTCCGTCACGTGTAAAATGAGGTATTTCTAATAGCGAATTTGTTTTCGAAACCGAACATTTTGTCAGTGCGAACCTCAACCTGAGCTAGGTTTTAAAAACAAACGATCAAACTGACGTTTGCAAGAAAACAAGCAGACCCGATCTTGATACCCGATCTTGATACCCGATCCAGGTTGGAACTGAATAATAAACAAATTCGCTATAAGTGTGTAGGTTTCAACACTCATCGTCATAAGAAATACATCCAGAACTCTCTGTGTTTCTGATGTGCTCTGTGCGCGTTTTGACCAAAGGACTGCAACGCTTGTCATCTGCGAACAACTCGAGTGAAGCCAAATTTCTCTGGTGCTCTGGTACTAATTTGGCAGCTCCTCCTTTGCCTCTATGATTAAGCTTGGTACATGTCGCACCGCGTTGTGGAAAATAGAATAGATAGAGTTTTCTAGTTAACGTTATAGGAAAGCATGATTCACGCAAATTGTGCTCGTCAATTCTAAAACAGCTAAATCATTTTTTAATTGTCCATTGTGGGAAAGTAAGAATGGTTTTGATGGCATTACATTTGTTGCCACCTTGCCGCAGTTAATGTTACATGGTTGGAGCTTAAATATGTTATGGATCACCAGCGCTTCTGATGTTTTCGGCAGTTTCAAGAACTGCATCGAATTGCAGGGAGTTGATTTTGACTGTCTCGCTCTACTGGCACATCTACCTCTTCAAGTAATAGCGCGTAGTTTAAGAAATAGCTCATTAATAAGATTGCCTTTCCGCGGTGCCAACTCTATTGCAAGCTGTGGAATTCATGGGCTTCTGCGAGTTTTTAATAGAGATGCCTGTATTTTTGATTTCTGTTTTCCCGTGAAACGTTGGAGAATAAGTTTTTGATTGGATTCAGAAGATTTGTATAATGAAGGCTAAATTATTTTTGTCATTAGTGCCCTGTGCGGTCTGTTGATAGTATCCCCAAATAAATAAATAAATAATTAAATTAGTGATAGGATCACGAGAAACATGTGGTCGTCTTACCCTTTGGAGTGACCACCGTTACCCCGCATGAATTTATTCATGATTTATTCAAACTTTTTGTTATTTTATAATGAAACATTATCAAATGAAAAGGAAATTTTCTGAAAGTTATGAAAAACACTCTAAAGATTTTACTTACTTTTTTAAAGGCACAACTTAGTTATTGAGCCATTGAACAATCAAGGTGATCATCGCTCTATGGACTTTCGGATTCTGTTAAAGTTGAAACCCACATTGAAGTGCATATCTGAATCTTCACTGCTACCAGTTTATTCATCCACTAATCGGAAAGGAAAATCTTATTTAAAATTTGCAGTAAGTCCTCATCCTTGCTCTGTTTTCACTCAGTTCGCCCGCAACAAAAAAAAGTTGAACTTCAGTTGTTGAAACGAAATAGTAGCTGTGCAAGCTTTGGCTCATATTTTATGTATATCGATTCAATTATGTTTTCAATGTATTTATATCTCTTCATCTTACGGCTAGTATGTTAAAATTTAGTTGACAACTTGTTGTTAGCAATTTTTTGTGTGAGTCCTATATGAGAATCAGTGTAACGGTGTTCTGCTTCTTTTTCGTTCTCGTTTTTTTTTCGAATTCTTCGATCGAACCCAGTTCAAACCTCACTTAATAACTCTACTTGTATCACATTTATCGCTTTTTTGTCCTTCTTTTGAAAATGACTTTGTTCCTAAATGATCTTCAACACACTCATAAAATAAAATCTATCTGTACCCAACTGTGATGGTAAAAGTAATTTTCGTAAGAATTCTACCATGAAGTCCTTGACGAGTATAGTTCCTATATGAAGTGTGAGTGCACGTCCGGTTTTTGGTCCATATTACTCGATCCTTATGAGTTTAGAAAATAATGTGAATCTTGTAGACCCGTAGCATTGGTAATTTTTTGAGGGAATTTTAATTGGAAACCTGTGGAATGAAGATTTTTTTTCCTTTCGATAACCGACGTTAATCAGTATGTGCATTTGTTTGTAGTTTTGTACTGTAAAAAAGCGAGTATATTGATGAAAATCGTTCTCTAACGGTGTCGTCCTTGCTATGCCATCCATTACTATGGACCAAAAGATCGATGATTTACGTTCTAATTGAGCGATCATAAGAATACTTTTTATTTGTTTGCTTACCATGAATTTAAGTGTAAAGCATTTCTCACTGCAAATGACATGTTTTGGTGCTTTGTTGGCGCACAAAGGATGAAATTCCATCGAGAGAGCGAAGAGTAAAATTTTCAATTACACCATTAACTATTATAAATGCTGCGAGATTCTTAAAATATGTACATTTGTTCCTTCTCATGTATTTACATAAAGCTATCTATATCTCTGTTGAATGTACAAAGCTAAGGTTCGTAGGGGTGTACCCATCCGTTTGAGAATACAAATCAGCGAGTGAAGCAGTTTCTCGAACATTTCAGCCTGGCTTCATTTGGTGTTATTTCCACTTTCGGTCTTGCTGGTAACGGTGGCGTTACCATTGGCATTGACGGTGCTGCTATTGTTGTTATTGTTATTGTTATTGTTGTTGAATTTTCCGATGCTAGCATCTCGTGGAATGAGCACCGATTTGCTAGTGGCTGGCGGTGCAGCGGAGTTGGTGCTGTTCGGTGTGCTGTTGACCGCCGGAGGACGAACTTCGAACGTCGGCTTGCACATTGCCAGAGCTGGGTTGGTGTGGAGACCCACATTCTTGGGGCACATGGCCACGATGCTGGCACCGATGGGACCTGTCGAGGGGTGGAGATAGGAGAGAAAAGAGTGTTGGGGTTAGAATTTTTCGGTTTCGTAAGGCGCGAGTACCATCGACCACTGAAATACACAATTAGAGGGGTTGGAATTACACGAAGATTTCGACAGCAACCATGCAGTAGAGTGTTTTTTGTGCTTTGCTACGGTTCTACGGTGTTGAGTTGGTCTCTGGTGTCTAGTTAAATACGATATGTTCTCAAGGCGCTGGCAATCGATGGATGTATGTTGGGTAGGAGCTGTATCCAAATTACTTCTCATAAGGATGCATGTCTCAAAACAGTTCTAATGTACGACATTCTAATATTAGGAACTACGACAATAAACATAGATTTCTACTTATTATGATGTTATTTTTCTCAAATGCTAGAGGAGATTAATTACAATAAAACAAAGGATTTGACTATGAGTAACAGACTGGAAACGATTTGGTACTAACAAATTGATGACCTTTGAAGTCCTTCCTTAGTTATTAAGTGACGGCTTTCTTTACCTACCAATTCTTGAAAAATGTGTCTATTGTGGATAATACTACTCTATCCAGGTAAAATCGAGATAATTGCAACCCGAAACATTTTCTGGACCGGATCGAGTGTCGAGTGACTAGGTTGTCTGATGCCCAGAGGCTGAAACTGCTTTGTTTCTGTTCAATTTATCTATACAGCAATGACCCTATTTTGTCAGTTCCCTTTATCAAAATATTTTCTAATGTTGTACGAAACCCATGCGCATTTTCAGTTGCCTTTAATGCACCTAACTACACCTTGAACATCCATCTTGAAGATGAATGAGAAAGATTTGGAATTACGATTATTTGAAATGTTGATGTGGACAGATTAAATTCTGATGCTTGTAGGGGCGGACAAAATCGGATCATTATTGTAGTAAAGAAAGAATTTCCATCTATCTTAAATTTCTGAAAGGATATTGCTTCGATAGGCGCATATATTGAATATAAATATAATCTGCTTTGATGGCATTCAGTTCCTACAAGATGTACAAAAGAGAAACCGTAATGTCCAGATTTTCGTTGTCATCGTAGCTCATCATAACGGTGTCATTTTCTTTTCACACAGCTAAGAGCAATGCAACCGGTTTCTTACTTTAATCTTTGTCGCCATTCAGCTCTCAGCATGCTTTTATGCTTTCACCCTTCCCAGCACGGTGAGGGGGTTGGTTCACTATAGCACTCTGCCACTTGTTTCATATCGCGGTCCGTTTGAAGCTATTTCCACTGCTGTTAAACATTACAGAACAAATGAACGCCAGAGTAAGTACACGGAGCGGAAAAACAACTAAAACAAATGACACGAACAATAACGCTTGAATGGGTGAAGATTGTTCCCTTTTTCTGAGTCCTTCGTCCGTGGTCCGTAGCTCCACGAAGTAAAATGATGCACACGGCCAATGAGAGTAACGCAGTGAGTGAGTAAAATTTTAATCGATTTTCCAGGAAAAACTTCTTGAATATGAGGAAAATCGAGCGATATTCAACTGAGTCCATTAGTATACTCTTAGGTCGTTCACAATGCTGTTGTATTTTATATGGACCTCCTCGCAATGCTGAGTTGCCGTTTCATCATTCGGGCACTATTTTGCTCCAGATTTGCAACTGCTAGACTATTTGATTTTATTTCCAAACGGGTTTGAAACATGAATGGAACTCTCAGCGGCGCCGGTGGTGTAGTGGTAAGCGTGATTGCCTCTCACCCCAGCAGGCCTGGGTTCAATCCCAGTCGGCGCCGCCGGGATGTTCTGAGGCATAACATCTCTGATCACGCCTTCCTTCGGAAGGGAAGTAAAGCCGTTGGTCCCCGGTTCATGAGTTGATGGGTCGATAGATAGGGTCCAGGTGTAGGAGCTGCCTTCCTGGCGTCGGTAGCATTGGTGCTCAGCACGGAAAACAAGATCGACGGAAAACAAATAAAGGAAAAAAAAAAAAAAATGAATGGAACTCTGTTTAAAATTACTATGGATGTATTTCTTGATGTTTCTCGTAAATGTTCAGAAAACTTCATAGAAGTTGAGCATATTCAATAGAAATTTGGGAATTTTACAGAAATTTTGGGAACATCTGAGAAGTTTGAGGATGTTTTATAAAATTTCGGAGAACTTCATTTAAATAACGAAGAGCTTCACTAACAATTCGGAGAACTGCATAGACAATAGTAAACTGTATGGATATTGTAGTTTAAAAAAAATCAGGGAGTATCATTGAAGTTTAGATAATTTGAAAGAAGTGAGAGTCCTCTGGATACTTTTTCAAGACTTCAGGTTGATCAGGTACTATTATGATGAAGATCTCATACTATCCAACAATTCAAATCACATCTCTTAGAAATTCTCTCATAACACCAGGTTACTCAGAAAATATTCCAATGTGTGATCAGAGATCTCCAATAACTTCTCAGGATTTTCTCATGTCTTCAGGTTGATTTAGTATACTTCTGCAGTGAATGACTAGTCAAGTTGGATGTACATAAATAAATAAATAAATAAATAAATAAATTCAAATTATTGCTTCACAATAACTTCCTACTGGAGGCTCCTGGAGTCACCATGTACTCGATCGCCAATCAACGATCAATACATAAGGAGAGAATAGGAGAAGGCAATTAACGAAAAGAGAGAATGACGATAGCGTGTTGCGGCAGTGGTGGCTTAACAACAGACAGACAGAAATGTGACACTTTAAGGGGAAGCACACAGCTCCGAAAAAAAAATTAGTTTCGATTTTTCTAAAATTATTGGGAAAAGATATCAAAAATCTAAACAAATTACAAGTGCAAAAATATTTTTTGTAATTTATCATGGCATAAAATTGAACTCAAAAAACCACAAAACTTCAACTTTTCGGTTTTGCGTTTTGCGAGAGTCCAATATTGTTTCATGGTGAGATAGAAAAACTATTTTTACATGTTATTTTTTTCAAGAATCTAAGGAAGAAACTGATTTTCTTGGATTTTTGATAATTTTTTTCCAATATTTTTAGAGAAATAAAAACGTGCCGAAAATATTTTTTTATTTTCGGGGCGGTAATCTTCCCCTTAAGGAATTCTTAGCACTCATCGAACGATTGCCTCAAGCTGATGCAGTAGTTCGATGGCCGTTGCAGTTTACTGGAAATTGACTCTTCACAACATGACACAGCAGAAGTGGTCTGCTAGAAGTGTCGTGGGAAACATTGAATTTATGACATGAGGGATGCACATTAGACTGATGCAAAATTTGAAATTTTCGCTCCACAGTGCTAAAATGGTTCCAAATTGAGTCCTGCTTAACCTCCCAAAATGTGAACTACTTTAGTAAGAAACTGACTTGGCACAAACCATTTCAAGTTTATATGGGAATTACTATGGGAAAACTTATGTTTTTGTTCATATCTATCAAACAATTCACCACATCACTATGCTTTTAAAAATGATAACAGTGATTGTAGAAAATTTTCTCAGCTACAACTTTGTTGCAAATCACTTTTCAATCAAACGTAAGGAAAAAAAGTTATTAAAGATTCAAGTCACTGATGTCTTATTATTATGCTCATTCAACTGTTCAGCAGGCAACATTGGAGTTTCTGGTGCGAAGAATAGAGCACAAATATCATGGCTACTATGTCACACTGCAGAATACAGTGTTGCCCACAGAACAGCTGCTTGATCATACCATAAGATTATCAATCTCTTAAACAATTAATAACAATTTCATTTGACATTTGGCTGAAAAACTATATTCCGCAAAAATGTAGCTTAGAAAATTTCCCGCAAGAAAAGATATAACATTTTTCGAAAAAGCAATATGGAAAATTGTAAGAAGACAATGAACAAAAAGTTTGGTTTTCCCGTAGCAATTTCCATATAAACTTCGAATAGTTTGTGCCAAGTCAGTTTCTTACCAAATGAGTTTATATATTGGGAGGCTAATCGGGACCTGATTTGAAACCGTTTGAGCAATGTGGAGCGAAAATTTCAAATTTAGCATCAGTTTAATGCACATGTTACAGAAGATCTCCAAATGCTCAACAATTTAAATCATGTCTCTCAGATATTCACCCTCGATACCAGGTTGCTCAGAAATTCTTTCAAAGACCAGCAAGTGATCATAAATCTCCATATATAATCATACTTTCTTTACATCTTTCGACAGCAGAATCGTCCGGGATCTCTTCTCGTTGTTCGAACTCGTTACCTGATACTGGATTCCGAATCACCGAAGCAAACAAAATTTGCACCCGCACACACATGTAGGGATGAATACCAAACAACGTTTGAAACTGCGCGTTGCGCTGATCGTGTTCCAGTTTAATTTTTGGCAGTTTCAAATTTTAGAACTGTAGAGTAGTTTTAAGCAATTTTGAAACTCTGCACCCAGGCGACCAAGCTGGCCAGCAAAAGTCGTCCGCCAGGCACTTTAGACTGAGTACAATTTCGATCGATTTTCCCCTGAGCCCCACTTTTTGCAATTTAGAGTTGAATTCGACTCAGTTACTGAGCTACTCTCATCGGCCGTGTAAAACTTGAGAAAACAGACACGTGTTTCCTCCAGCAGGGTAAAGAATCGAGACGTGACAAAAGCGTGCTGTGATAATCTTCAGCTAGATTTTATTCTGCTTTGCCTTCATTACCGTCGCTGATATGGATGAAGCTCCACCGTAAACAAGTTGAAGTGATGATTCAATAGCCGGTGACTTTGTTCCACAGCTTTCGCGAGATTTTAAATGTTAAAGTCGGAGGAATTGGGAGGAAAATTTACGATCACAAAACCCTTTCTGGGTCGGGTAATCTGAATCCAATAAATCCTCTAACGAACCTCGCATGTTCGCTGAAGGACAGCCGCAACTTCTACCCTACCTTACGAATGCATGTACTATTTATGTTTACACATACAGCTTCTTGCCACACTAATGGTGGCTTGAACTTGATGCGTGATTTAGTGGATCGTAAATCTGAAATAGCTATTAATTTTTAATGCTTTATACAGAGTA